GCTCCAAGGGAGTGGTGACATCAGCAGGGTTGGGGGACAGACGTCAGCAGGGTTGAGGACATCAGATGGGTTGGGGACATTAACAGTTGGGGACATTAATAGATTTGGTGACATCAGCAGGGTTGGGAATATCTAGACAGTGGGGGATATCAGCAAGGTTGGTGACATCAGATGGATTGGGTGACATCAGCAGGGTTGGGGACATTAACAGTTGGTGACATTAACAGATTTGGTGACACCAGCAGGGTTGGGGACACCAGCAGGGGCTCTGTGGCCATTTGTGGCCTGGCACAAGGCCAGGAGGTGCCAGGTGCTGTGGGATTTGGGGAGTGGTGACATTTTCTGTCACCACTTTGGATCCAGTTTGGGACAGGTGCTGGGAGCTCGTGCTGCCTCTGCCCACACCAGCTCTGAGTGTAACCAGGAAAAGGAGTTTATGTTTTAGAGTTTATAGAGATTTATATTTTTAGAGATGATGATTTAGACTTTAGAATCCTGGGGATGGTGACTGTGACACAGCCCACGATTCCTGTGTGATGTAGGATCAAAAATGGGATTTTGGAGCTAATTTTTCCCCCTGGCATGGGAGGATCCAACTGCAGCTTCATCCCTTTTGCCGTGACAGTGACGTGCACAGCCCCAGTGATGCAGGAGTGCTCCAAAACCAGGTGGCCGTGAACATCCTGAGGTTCACAGTGTCCACAAATCCTGAGCCCTGTTCTTTCCATCTGCTGACAGCCCTTGCTGTTCCCCTCCTGCCTGCTGAGCATCCATCCAGGAAAACCAAAGCTGTGGAGGGGGGCAGGACTGGCAGTGCTGCTCCTGCTTTGAATGCCTTTTGATTTTCCTTCTGTCACAGATCAAACCTGTGCCTCGGAGGGGGCCTGAACTGCTGCTGGCTCAGGCTGCCAGGGCTGTGAGTGGAACTGCATTGAAATCTGGCTTTTAAAAAGGAGCCATGCATCTTCCCAGGCAGGGCACGGTGCCAGGGCTCAGCAGAGGAGCTGTCCCTGCCTGCAAGGAGCTCGAGCAGTGTCTCACTTACAGGGCTTTGCTCTGCGGGTGGAATTCAATAAACAGCTCTGTCCTTCTGGGAACCTCTGGGGCTGAAACAGGAGCACAGAGCTCCTGTTATCCACAGCAGCCAGCACAGACCTTAGAAAATGTGTCCCTGAGCTTTGATGAGGTCATTGCATCCTCCCCAGAGAGCTCAGGAGCCAGGTAAGTGACACAGGGGACAGACCTGGCCCTAGGCACGGTGCCGTGTGCCTGGGGGCAGTGCAGGTGGGCAGGCACGGCCCAAATGTCTCAGGGCAGCAGGGGGACAAAGCTGAGCCTCCCCCAGGCTGCATCACCCTGCCTTAGAGCCCTCACCCCTGTCAGACAGGGCCATTCCCCTCCTGCATGGAGAATCCTGGAGTGGATGGGTTGGGATAAACCTTAAAGCCCCTCCAGTGTCACCCCCTGCCACGGGCAGGGACACCCTCTGCTACCCCAGGTGGCTCCAAGCCCCATCCAGCCTGGCCTTGGGCACTGCCAGGGATCCAGGGGCAGCCTCATGATAGCTGGTTTTAGGGGGATTAGAGATCTCCACGGCAGGGAAATGGCCAGGATCAGTCAGGTGGATCCACAGCAGCCCCTTTGTGCCTCTGTGGATGAGATCTGGTGCAGGTGAAAGGTTTGGCTGTGTCCCCTTGCAGCAGGGAGAGCACAGAGGGAATGAGCCAAGGAATGAACTTTCTGCTTTCTGTGTTTCTTCTCTCTTTGTGTCTTGCTGGGATTTTCTATTCTCACCGAGTCAGGAGCAGGTTTATGTGCTGGGAGCATGATTGATTTCCAGCTCGCACCTTGCAGTGGTCTGAAAGCAAACCACGCTGGCTTTTGGCTTTCTTGATATTCTCAACAGCAAGAAAAAAAAAAAAAAAATTGAGCTCAGAACAAAATATCCCAGCAGCTTTCTCCAGCAAAGCTGTGCTGAGGTTTCACTGGCAGCATCCCAAAAGGAAACAATGAGATTTTGAACCTTGCCTTTATCAGGAGCTGTGGTTTTACAACTTTTGGGGTTATGTCAATGATTATGCAGACAGGTTTTGGTTCATTCATTCATTTTTTTGTTTGATCCCTTAGCAAGGTCTCACAATGCCAATTTAAAACCCTTTGGATTGGAGGAAGGAAATCTCATGTTCTAAAGCTTATGGGCTTATTAACCTCAGAAATTTGCAAGGTTTGAAAGGCTCAGCTGTGAGTTTTGTGTTGTTCCATATGATTTTTTTGGGGGAAAACCAAAGGAAAGCAGCATTGAGGTTCAGTACTGCAACAAAGCAATCAGAAGGGGTGATATTGTTGTTGATATCGCTGTTGGTTTATTCTCAGCAAATACAAATGTGATGGATGCTGGGAGGTTTTATTGTGGTTCTTAATGATTCATTTGACCCCTGATAGCTGCCAGTGAACCCAGCCCGGGAGCAGAGCCTCTGCAGACAGAGCAGGAGACACAAAATGTCAATTGCCACTTGTTCTGCTCAACCTGATTCCTCCAACCCTAAAGTGGGAATATCTGGAATGGATCTAAATCTCCATCTATGCTTCATGCATGCAAATCACGGGTGTGTTGTGTTAAATTGCATCCTGAAAAGCTGGGGAAAAAAACCTCCAAGGAGTGAGAAGCAAACAGGAGGGTTTGAATGGTCAGGAAATCTCTTTGTGTGTGTCTGAGGGGTGGGCAAAGCCCCTGGGGTGGGGATGTCTCAGTGCCTCTTGCCTTGGTACCATCTGCATCTTGGATATTGGGAACATTTCTGCCCAAAAGGGGCTGTCCAGCCCTGGCAGGGGTGGAGTTCCAATCCCTGGACTTTTCCATCCCAAACCATTCCATGATCCCGTGGTTCTTCAGTTGCAAAGCAGTTTGTGCTTTCTCACCTGGCCTAAACCTCTCTTTTAGAGGGATGTGAGAAAGGTGAGCATAGGAGGGACTGACCAGGGCTCATGGCAGATCACCTGGGCCTCAAACAACTCACAATTTAAAAAAATGAAGTCAATAATGCACCCAAGTTTACCCAGAGAATCTCAGGCTGAACCTGGAAACCTTGAGCTTTAATCACCAGCCTGTCCTGGCCCCTCACCTTCCACAAAAAGTGTTGTGTGAAGGTTAACTTTGGATTAAAACAGAGTTGGACTAACTGCAGACACAAAGGGAGCTTAACTAGGCTGGGCTCAGGCAGAATCCGGCCCAAAGTGCTTTTCTTTGCAGCAGAAAATCTTGGAGTTGGAGGTTCTGGATGAGTGGGAATGGGAGGTTCCATTCAAAGAGAGGATTTGCTCTCTCAATAAGAGGATTCAGGCTGGAAATGCATATACTCACCTGTTCTGATGGGTTTATAAATGGTTTAAAGCTGCAGGCTCTAAATGAGACAAATTTAATCTTCATTTCAGCCCTTGTGGGCCTGGAGAATCCTGAAGGGCTTCACCAGCAACCACAATTCTTTTTAAACCACTTTTTCTTTTTCAAAAGCCATTTCAGGTTGGATTTTGTCAACCAGGACGTGATCTGCACTACCATGATGAGGGAGAAATGGTCAATCACAAACTGAGATCACATCAGGAATTCTTGTTTAAAACTCCTGAAGGCTCTTCCATGCCATTGGATTTCTCCCCACAGCCTCTCTGTCTCCTGGAATGAAATGCACTTTATCAGGAGACTGAATCACAGCAGCATGGGATCATTATGGTTGGAAAAGACCTTTTATTTTCACTGAAATATTGCAGTGAAATTTGGCATCATTTAAAACAGCTCAGGTCTCCCCAAAAACTCACACTGAGGTCCCTTCTGGAGCCCTTGCCCGTTGATTTTTCAGTGTAAACACCAAAGGAAATGCAATATTTGGGGTTTCTGTCTCACTGTGTGCATGTCTGACACTCTGTGGCTGTGAAAAAATGATCCTCAGTGTTTTCTTTGGAATCCTGGAATGGTGAAAGTTGGAAAAGCTCTCGGATCACTGAGTCCAACCATTAACCCAGCACGTTTTTGTAGATGTGGTGCTCGTTCCCAAAAAAAAATAAATAGAATTTAATGTTTTTCAGCACTCCTTGTGCAGCCCAACATTCCCAGACCTTGTGGGATTTGTCACTTTCACACCACTCTGGATAAATAAACCACAGAATCTCCTAAAATACTGCACCATTCCATTTATTGCAGCAACAAATGATGCTTTTAGACATAAATAATTTGCTGTGTTAATGAAGATTAACAGAGTTTATTAATCCTATAGAAGTTTGGATTGACTAAACTCAATGTGGGCTGAGATATGGCTGCATAGTAGAAATTAACGTCCAAATTTTAATTGTCAGAAAAAAGTTTCATTTGGTGCATTAAGAACTAAGCACATAAAAAAAATAATGTCGGGGGGAAAGAAATAGAAAAAAAAAATATTATTCTTTGCACTGTGGCTGTTTTGAGTACAATAAGACTCTTTGAGGAGCTTTCTATTTAAAATGCACTTTTAATGTTTCTCCCTGGCTGCCAGGCTTTGCAAGGTCTCCACCTGATATATTGGAAGTGGTAACAAACTCTTGAGATGGATTTTTGAAATCTTTAGACCTCTGCCCAGGCTTGCAGTGATGACACAGAGGTAACAATAAAACCACTTGAGAGACATTTAATGGGACACTTTAAATGAAATCCCCGGGGTTGGTAATGGCAGCTGAGCGTGTTCTTGCCATTTTCCCATTTAACAAGAAGAAAAGGCCAAACAAGGAGCAATTAGTCAGAAGAAAATCAGCTTTGATGACATTTTCCCTCCTGAACTCTGGTATAAAATGGTCACCTGAGGAAGAACTGAAAGGATGTGTGAGGAATTTGGATGTAGAGCTGCATGTTCATACACACAGTGCTGGGTGAAAAATGAGCAGGTAAAGGCACCACGGGGTTCTTGGGTTGCTCTCTGTTCATATTTTGCTTGATTTTGATCCCAATTTTCGTTAATCTCAGCTTTGCTTTGAAGTCCATGCAGGTTAAACTTGGTTTTTATCCTGTGGATCTCCATGACATTGCTGTGCTCTGGTTTCCCAGCTGCTCCTTCCATGGTAAGTCCCATTCCCTCATTTCTCCCAGATCTCTTCCATTCCTCTTAAATTACTCCTTTATGTAAATTAATTTTCTTTGCTTGATTGCTTCTTTGCTGCTGTGTTTTTGTTTTTTATGAAGTGAAAGAACTTTCTTGTATTAAAGCTATTGGTTATATATTATTACTTCATTTTTCTGGGACATAGCCTAATTTTTCCTGGAGTTATTAATAAAATATGCAAGCCTCTGAAATAATCATGTGAACAACTCAGTGCATATTTGATGTGGAGTGTGGGGAGCAGAAATCCTGGACAGAAGAGAAAAAAAACCCACAAATCTCCTCTCCATTTAATCTGAATTCCTTGCATATCTCAAAGAGGTGCAATGAGATATATATGTATTAATTTCACTTATTGCTAGTGAGTTTATCAATTCATTAACTTATTTATAATCAACTGATTTATTTAAGCCCAGCTGGATCTGAGTAGCCACATTTCCTAATGGATGGGTTCTCTTTATGGCAATGATATGGTTAAAAGGACTTTAATTGCTTCAATAAATGTCAAAATGAAAGTTATTTATTCAGTAAATCTAGGGAAATAGCAGCTACAAATTCAAAAGGGGAATTTGTCTGTGCCCTTTTGTTGGTTTTAATCCTTTATTTCTTGCAAAAAGTTTTTTTTTTCTTCTTAGGGAGGAAATTCAGTCTGGGAAACGCTTTGTCAGTGGCAGAAGGTGTCTGTGTCAGAAAAAGTCATTAAACAAACAAAAAAATTAACTTAATAAGCAATATTAAATAAGAGCAATAAAACACTGAATTAAAACAATTCCTAATGAACTTAATGGCAATTTTACCAGCAGTTCCAGGTGTTATTCCTATAGCTTAGCATGGAATTTTTAGAGATGCCAGAATATGGCTTTTAGATGGAAAATCAGCTGGGAAATCAGGATCTGATGAAAGACACACAGAGCAACCATAGACAGGCCAGGAAATGTTTTTCTTTTCTAATTCAGCAGTAATTAAATGCAGTTTATTTTAAGAGCTGTTGAAATATGTCAAAGTTTTTATGTAGTTGGCATTTTTTGTCCTACAGAGTGCAAGTAAAAGGAATGTGTGCAAAATCCTGGATTTTTATCTAAGCCTGGATTTTTAACCAGACCTTTTAAAATTCCCATTACTATTTTGTCATTATTAAACTTACTCAGAGGTACTTCCAGAAATGGTCATAACTACTGGAAAGCCTCCTCCAAATTTTAGCTTTACAGATATTTTTGTTTTCTCTTGTCTGTAATTTAAGCCTCAGAAGTTCACACAGGTTTAAAAAAAGCTGGTATTTCATTTTTCCCTGAAAAAAATCTCATTTTACAGCAATAAACACCTGTGTTGTTCCAAGGAAGCTGTGTCACAGCTGCTCAGCATCACCAAAAACAATCCATATCATACCCTAAACATAATTGTATCAGTATTTTAGACCAGAAATATATAAAAAAATGAAAAAAAAAATCTGATTTTGAACGCGATAAATCCTTAGAAAATAACAGCTCATCCTTGTCATTCACAGCACAAATTGCTTTTGTGTTTCTGCTTTCCTCTGTATCCTGAACAAGTCCTGGCAAATACACAAATCTATAATTTTGCCTTCTCTTATCATCTCTTTGTTTTTTCTTTTTCTTGTTTGTTTGTTTGTTTGTTTGTTCGCCGTCAATCTGCAGAGCTCCAACCCTTTCTATTTGACGTGCCAGCTGTTGGGGAGATGGGATTCGTGCCTGGTGCTGCTGAGCAGGTGCCTGTCCCAGGTGGGCAGGGACGAGGAGCTGGCCCTTGCCAAGCCTCTCCACAAAAGGTCCTTCCGCAACGGCGTGGGAGCGGGAATTAAAAAAACTTCCACGCGAAGGGCAAAGTCCTGAAAAAATGTCACAAAACCCGGCCCAGGTTTTGACATCTCAAGTTCCAGCCCTTGCTTCGAGTTCCTTTTTTATGCTTTTTTTTTTTTTTTTCTCTGACAAAGCCACCTCTGGCCGAGTGTCCCCGGCGCGTCCCCAAACGTCGATTTCCGAGCCCGGCGGAGCAGATGGGAGCGCCAGGGAAGGGCTTTGATCCCAAACTTACAGCACCATAAAAATTCATCTGGAAATTGTGAATGCTGGTGAGAGGCAGGGAAAATCAGCGGTTTGAGTTTTTCCAAGCTACTCAAAAGAAAACAGAAAGAATTAACAAGAGAGTTTAGCACCGGGCGTTGTGGACAGGAGTGCGTGAGGAACGCGATGTTTTGGTAAGGACGGGTTTACAAGAGGTGTTGCCTTCCTTAGACCAACGAGCTTATTCTGCCCTTAGTCCAGCGACCCAGTCTATAAAAATATGCCTACTCCTGCAATAAATTGCTTTTTCTGCTTTCTAAATGAAGCCTGTGTTGCTGTGGTTTTTCGCCGCTCCCGAGCCTTACAGCGACACGAAATGAATGTTTTCATTTGCTTAATTTCCCTCCTTTGTCACGCTACAGATTTTAATCAAGTTGCTCTTTGATTAATACAGAGATAATCCCGTGCTTTGAGGAGATGTGTGTGCACAGCCTGTGGGGAGGATGGAGGGTGTTATTCCCAAAATCCCTCCTCTCTGCCAGGCACGAGGCATTCCTGTGCTTTCCCATCCCGAATCACATTTACCTGAAGACAATCAGGTAATTTTAATACAGATTTAAAGTGCATTTCATCTCAGCTTTCCAATGATATGAAGGGCCACCATGTGAAAGAATCAGACCCTATTCTGATATCAGACCCTAACTTCCACTGGTTTTTTAATATAGTTATTTAATGTGACTTTGGCAGGAAATAGTCTCCAGAGATGTCTCATCTCATATCCAGAAGAATCCTGGGAAATCACTCTAAGGCAGGGTATCAGCACCATTCCCCGTGCCTCAATTAATTGACTTAGGTAGGCAACACCCAGCTGACGAAATGTGCCAAAACTGGGAATTTTTTTTTTAATTTCCTGTTAGGGAAAAGAAAAAAAAAAAAAAAAGAAAAAAGTCATTTGATGTGAAATATGGAAATACCTAAGTGTGGTGTGGAGGGAAGGTCACCTGATGGCCAGGGCCAGGTTGGACAGGGCTTGGAGCACCCTGGGATGGTGGAAGGTGTCCCTGCCATGGCAGGGATGAGCTATGAGGTCCCTTCTATCCACACCAGAGATCCCATGATCCCACGATTCCATGATTCCATGATCCCATGATCCCATGATCCCATGATCCCATGATCCCATGATCCCATGATCCCATGATCCCATGATCCCACGATCCCATGATCCCACGATTCCATGATCACACGATCCCATGATCCCACGATTCCATGATCCCACGATCCCATGATCACACGATCCCATGATCCCACGATTCCATGATCCCACGATCCCATGGTCCCATGATCCCACGATCCCATGATCCCACGATTCCATGACCCCATGATCCCACGATCCCATGATCCCACGATCCCATGATCCCACGATCCCATGATTCCATGATCCCATGATCCCATGACCCCATGATTCCATTCTGCATCTGTGCACACCTGTGGGGATGGAGGGGTTTTATCCCAGTGCAGAGCTCTGTCCTGCTCACATCCCCCTCCCCAAATTATCTTTCAGGAAAGCAAAAAAAAATCCCCCCCAAAAAATTCCGATTCACCTTTGTTTGGTCTATGAGATCCATTTTTTGCTAACATTTTCCTACATAATCAAATATATTCCTGCCTAGGTAACCTGGGATGAGCAAGGTTGTCTTTAAGCCAACAGAACTCTGTGTGGAGCTTGGAAAACCAGGCTGTTCCCTTTCATTTATTGTGCAGGAATTTAACTCATTTAGTGTTTTGGCATTTGTCTTTGAGCAGGGCACATTCCAGAGGGATGCAGAGCTGCTGTCCTGCTCCCTCCATCCCCTTTTATCAAAAATAAAGGATGCAAGAAGAATTGGCTGCTGGGAAAATCCCATTTTTTATGATTTATCCAGTCCCTGACAGGCCACTCCAGCTGCAGGGATCTGCATGTACAAAACAATGTACCAGGAGGCCACCGAGAGCCATAAATCACCAAAATCACGGGAAATGTGGATTTTCCAGCTGCCTTGCAGGAGCTCTGTCACTGGAGGGCTGATCTGGCCATCACCACCCACAGAAAAGTCACCCTGCAATGCTGAACTCATCTCTGAACTTTAAAGGTGCCTTTGTTTTGGGGAGAACAGAGAGCAACCTCAGTGATCTCTGTCAGGAAATAAGGATCTGAGGGTGCCATTGCCAGGCACATTAATTTTGATGCTGGAAATGTGGCAGAAAATGTCTTTTTTCAGTTAAAAATTGAACAATGGGAACAAGTATAGGGACGCCAACCTGCACCGTAATTAATGTGTTGTCATTAATTTTATTTCTTTCTGGAGAACGATGATCCATGATGCTGGGTGAAGATAATTTGTAACTTTTTTACTATTTTTCTTGGCTAACCTAACAGCAAGAGAAAAGATAAAAGAGTTCAGAGGGTGGGGGAGTGATGCTTTGTTTGGGAATGCTCTGGCCAGTCTTGGCTGAGGAATTCCGTTTATGACTTTAGAAAAATAATTTATTCTCAATTTCCCCATCTGAAAAATAAGAAACTGCCTTCACTGAGCCATCTTGACTAAGCAGTGTCGTGACTGATGGATTTGGGAAGAGTTTGGGGACAGAAAAGGGTGATTTCAATAGCTGGAGAGGCTGAGGGACAGGACATGAAGAATTCCTGAGTCCATAAGGATTTTTTTTCTTTACTTTACTCTAACTTGTATCTACCTCTGAAAGCTTCAGACATAAATTTCCAGTGATGATTCCTTGGTTTTGGGCTGTGAGAGCCATCCCTGAGCTCAGCAATCACTGTTTGGAGCAGCCAAACTCGATTTGGCCAGTTTTGATTGTAGTTCAAACTAGAAACCAGATTTCCCTAGATTTACTGAATAAATGACTTCCATGTTGACATTTATTGAAGCAATTAAATTCCTTTCAACTGTGATATCATTGCCATAAAGAGAATCCATGCATTAGGTAATGTAGCTACACAGATGCAGCTGTGTCTAAATAAATCAATTGATTATCAACTTTAATAAACTTTTATAAACAATTTATAAATTTATAAACTTTATAACATGTGCTGGGCCCTGGGGTTGGGCTGATGCTACCCTGAGGTTGTAGGAGCTGCATCTCCATCCCCATCCCAATGATCCCATCCCATCCCATCCCTGTATCCCATCCCATCCCATCCCATCCCATCCCATCCCATCTCTGTATCCCATCCCCATCCCCACATCTGGAATGGCACTTTCCAAGGAGCAGGATGTGTCACCTGCTGCTCCTCTGCTCCCCATAAACCATCTGAGCCTCTGAAGGGAGGTTTGAGGTTTCCACTGGTGAACCTGAAGGGAACAAATCCCATAAAACACAAAAATCTGCCCAAAGACAACAAGAGGAATTAACACTTTACTTCTTCTTCTTCACAGATTATTGGCAAGGAAGGCAATTAAATAGCCTGATGTAATAGCATCTAATTAACTTGCAAGCCTGAAAATTCCTCCTAATGACATCCCCATACTCAGGTTTCTGATTGCCCAGCACATATTAAAGTATGGATATCACATTTAGGTTTCCTAATTTGCTATTATTTGCCTGTATAAGGTAATTTATTTCCTGAAAATACTGAGAGGAAGAAAGGGAGAAATCTCTTGCTGCTTTTAACTCTGGATATAATTTTGACCTTAAGAAAGAACAAGACAGATATGAAAGAGTACATTAGATGTTATTATTACTGTAATAAAACAGAGATAAAAATCGTAGAGCAGAAAGGCTCTAAGACAACTATTAACCATTTGTCATATCAAGAAAATCAAAATTTAACTTATCAGAGAGTCTGGCACTTTAAAGATTCATCATGAAAAATTACTTAAAACCGTGGAGCATTTATGCAGAGTGTCATTGATGAGCTGTCTGCTTAAATGTTGGAAGAGTTTGGGGAAAGATTGAGAAAATGTCAAAGATAGGCCTTTTATCAGTCTCACCATATTTAAATTTATTTTTGAGAGTGAAGCAGCATGGCAGGACTTTTTTTCTTTAAGGAAACGAGCTGAGCTCACTGTCCTACCCCAATGGGCCATGGCTGGTGAGAACAAAGAGGTGAGGATGGACCTTGGTGACTGAAAAAATGACACAGCAGAATATCAAACATCACTCTGGGGTTGGGCACAGAGCAGTTTTTGGGGTTAGGACAATTTTTCTGTCTTTGTGGTGACAGACAGACTTTTTCTTCTAATCCCTTCATGGATTTGGAGTCACTGGGTTGGTTATGATGGAAAAGAGGGGATCTTAAAAGCTCGATCAGCTGAGACTCATCTTTTCAATTTCTTCAGTGTGAACCTTCCAGAAGATGTGTAAGGGCTCAGAGTGACAAGAGATGAGCTGTGGAGAGCTCCTCTCCAGACATCATCCCCAGATTTCATCCCAGACATCATCCCCAGATTTTATCCCCAGATTTCATCCTCAGATTTCATCCCCAGATTTCATCCCAGACATCATCCCCAGGTTTCATTTCCAGACCTCATCCCCAGATTTCATCCCCAGATCTCATCCCCAGATTTTATCCCCAGATTTCATCTCCAGGCATCATCCCCCGATTTCATCCCCAGATTTCATCCCAGACATCATCCCCAGATTTCATTTCCAGACCTCATCTCTAGATTTCATCCCCAGATTTCATCCCCAGATTTCATCTCCAGACATCATCCCCAGATTTCATCCCCAGATTTCATCCCCAGATTTCATCCCAGCCCATTGGAAGAACAGGGAATGATGGAGCATCCTCCACAGGTTTTTCCTCAGCCGTTTGGCGCGTTCAGGGTGGGAAT